GGAACAAATCACTGCAAATGCTAGAATCTGAAGAAAATGCTGCAGATCACAACTGGTCAGGCAGCATCCAGGTGGAGAAAGCAAGCTCACATTTTTCAGTTTAATTTTAGTTTGCTTTCTCTCCACAAATGTTGCCTGACCTATTGTGATCTCCTGCATTTTTTGTTTTTAGTTCCTTCCAAACCCATGATCATTTCCATCTAAAAGGATAAGGGTAGTAGATACATGGGAAACACCACCACCTCCCCTTTCCCCTCCAAGCTACTAACCATCTGGATTTGGAAATATAACACTCAATGTTTCTTCACCGTCCCTGGATCAAAATCCTGGAATTCTCTTCCTTAGGGCATTTTAGATCTAAAAACAGCACATGGACTGCAGCAGCTCAAGAAGGTAGCTCACCACCATCTTCTCAAGGGCAATGAGGGATGGGCACTAAACATTGGCCAGCCAATGTAGCCCACCTACGACAAGAGAGTAAAAAAAACACTGCTCTGGAAAATTCCAACAACTGAATTTAGGCCCTTGGTGGATGGAAATCCTGGCTCCAAGATTGCTGGCCAGTGGGAGGACATCCGTTCTACAATACCAGCAATATTAGGAGTAGTGGCCCCTGCCAATATTGTACAAAGGTCTATGTGAAGGATAGTCAATGGATCCTCCAGAGTAAGGTAAGGCAGGATGGAGTTCCCAGCGAGCATGGACAATTGGACTGCCTGGAGTGGCGGCGTTGGGGGATGTGGGGGAGGACTGTTGGGGTTGAGAAAGTGGGTGTTGGATAGGGAGGGTGGTTTTAATGATGGCAGTACAGTGGCTTCCTGTTTGCCCAACTTGGTCTATACCAACTAGTCAATGAGGCCTCAAATTTAGTCCCACCACATTAGTGTCATGACCATGGACCAGACCTGCAAAGTATCACACGCACTTTAAGTTTGTAATTCCTGATTGTCTTTTAAATAGAGGGCTGAAACAGTTAAAAACATAGCTACAAATGTAACTTGTGTGGTTGTCTGAAGAGAAATCTGCAGAATATCACAGCTAGAGATGGAAAGGGATCTTCAAACAATAGCCCTTCAAAAGGGTGGGGAAGTTGGGAAGGTGCAAGTCAAAATAGACTGGGCACTGATGTTGTGATGACAAACCTAATGAGGGGCTCACAAACTCCTGTCAACAGCAAATTATTCCCTGTGGATTATGTCCCAGACTCCAGACACATTTTGTCCTTTTCCTTTTAAAGAATACATAAGTACAGCGATTAGAAAGTCACTTTCAATTCTAATGTGGCGTGTTAGTGATTCCGAATTCTCATTCTCAAACTGCATGTGAATTCTACTAAATTATGGTCACTGCCCCATAGGGGTTCCTTCACCTTAAGCTCTATAACCAAGTCTATCTCATTTCACATCACCAAATCTAGAATTATCTGTTCCCTTGTAGGGTCTACCACAAGCTGCTCCAAAAAAAAATCTTGGAGACATTCCACAAATTCCTTTTCTTGACATCAGCTGCAAACCTGATTTTCCCATTACACCTAAATATTGACGTCCTCCATGATTATTGTAATAATGCCATTTTTACGCTCTTTTCGACCTCCTGATTTATTTTCTTTAATACATCCTGACTACTGCTAGGAGGCCTATACACAACTCCCATCAAGGTCTTTTTCCTTTGTGATTCCTCAACTTTACCCACATAGATTCTATGTCATTCTATCGATTTAATTTAATTTCATTAGAAGGACAGGGTACCAAATGCAAAAGAACTCCAACACCTGCAAGTTCCCTCCAAAGTCATGCATCATTTGGACCTGGAATTTTTTCACTGTTCCTTCAATATCACTGGTTAACAATCCTGGCACTCCCTTTCTGTGGATGCTTCTATAACACAAAGACTATAATTGTTCAAGAATGCAGCTCACCACCACCTTCTGCAGAAGAATTAGGATTGGCAACAAACCTTGGCTGAGCCGGTGAGGCCCATGCTCCCATTATGTACTAAAAGAAGCCATCATTTTACGTAATAATTATAATGGAGTCAGACTGTCAACAAGAACCTATCAAACAGAATAATCTGAAGAGGATTGCCAAATTTCCCCATTTTCTGTTCCATTCTCAAACTATCCAGACAAGTTAACTGTGTATGGAACAATCTATCAATGCAATAGCTTCAAATGAAGGGTATTTACCAAGAAGAGAAAGGATCAAGCCATAATTTATACATTTATATACCATGATTCTGGAATCAACTTGCAATGACCATGGTTGGGTAGTTTGTTGATTGTTGAGAGGGGATCACATGATCAGTCAATTAACCCTCTTTTGACATTTAAGAAAATACTTTTGTCCAAGCGAATGAGAACAGAAGAGGAGAACAAATGTAGCTGAAGCACTTAGCTGACTGTATTTCCTTGCTCTTCCTCTCTCTCTCTCTTTCTCTCTCCATCCACCATTCAAACTTGGTGCTGCCTTTGTTTGATCAGTCACATGCTATGAGTAGTATTTGAAAAAATCCAGCTGTTATTATTCTAAGAAGAAAAGATCTGTCAACGTTTTTAAATCATTCTTCATGCCATAGGAGCATAAGTTGCAGGAGCAGATATAGGCCATTCAAACCCTCAAATCTTCTCCACCATTCAATGGCTATCATCGCTGATCTGATAATCCTCAAATCCACTTTCATGCTTATCCTTTATTCCCTTAATAATTAGAAATCTGTTTATCTCAGCCTTGAATTTACATATCAGCACAGCCCTTATAACCCTCTAAACAAAGAATTCCTTAGATTCTTTGCAGTCAGAAAAAAATAAATCCTTCTTCTTCACTGTCTTCTATGAGCAACCCATTGCACTCTTGTTCTCGGCTCTCTCATAAAGAGAAACAACTTCTCTGTATCTACCTGATTAGGCATCCTAAGAACCTTGTATGATTCAATAAGATCTCCTTCCATTCTCTTAAACCTTATGAACCTTCACAGGACTGCCTCTGATGGCACCAAATCTCTCCTTAGAAAAGGGGACTGAAATAACTGCTCAGAGGCTGGTATCCCATCACAAATTCACCTTTTATGTACCTGTGCACAGTACACTAGCTGTGACCAGCCAGCTCAGAGTCAGTCCCTTGAACTGAGGAGATTCTAAATCTCCTGTTTATATTAGTCAGTCAAATCTTTCCTGATTGGCCCAGGTTAGCAACCCCAATCAAGGGCCTTGTTGTCAATGAGGTCCACCTGGTTCCAATCACCACGTGGTATAAACATTTCACAATTTTGCAGGAAGGACCTAACTTGTGCTTTGTAAAATTTTACAAAGACCTTGTTTTCTATGCTCCATTCTCTTTGAATGGAAGCCAACATTTCATTTTCCTTCCCAATTACCTACCAAACTTGAATGTTAGCTTTTTGCGACTCATGCACAAAACCTCCAAAAAGACCATTGAGCTCAGCCTGAAGCCTTGCAAGTTATCAATCTACAAATTCCACATACCAATGACTTCTATTAAACATTGAAAGTGCTTGTCATCTATCCTTTTTAATTAGTTTTGAGTGCATGTGCATGTGAAATCTTGAATGCATTTGTGAGAGAGAGTTAGAGCGTCTTTATTATTTTTACTTAGATTTGGTGTTTAGTACAATAAATACAACTTTCTCTTCTTTGAAAACCATACAAAATATTTGTCAACCTGTCTGTTTATTTTACAAAAACAGCATTTTAGTCCAACACTGAATTGGTAAGCATAGCCATATTAAAGAAAACAAAAACTTGCTATGGTTAAACCAATGGGCTAAAAGGGCAACCATTGTATTCCCATCTCACCTGCACCTATCACATTCAGCTTGTACTTTGACTAAAACCAGTATTTCTTTATCATTGTTAGGTTAAAATCCTAAAACTTTCCACCTACCAAATCAGAGGAAGTACCTTCACCTCCTGGACTACAGATGTTCAACATGGTGGCTCACCACCGTTTTCTGTGTGCATGAACTTTGTTAACTGTTTGTAGTATGAATGGCTTTGAATAGTGATTTGAGAAAAGTGAGGGAAAAAAAAAATGTGGCAAAGGTCAGGATTGCAAAGAAATGCTGAAGTTTCTTAATCGTGATCTGAAATCTAAATAGAAAATGCATGAGAAACGCAGCAGCAGAAGTCTGAAGAAGAGTTGTATTTGCTTTTAAATTTTAATTCTCTTCCTCTTTCCACAGATGCTGCCAGACCTGCTGGGTTGCTTCACTATTTTCTGCTTTTATTTCAGATCTCCAGCATCTGCAGTACTTGGCTTTTATCAATGTAGAGGAAACATGGTGTGAGATAAATTAGAAATCACAGTAGTTGCCAAAGCAAATTCACAGGCGTCAGTTCTGAAGAAGTCATACCAGATTGGAAACATTTACTCTTGTTTGTCTACTAATATTGTATATCTTGCTGAGATATTCAGACACCAAGTTGGAGACATCCATTTGCCAACATCAGGCTTCCGAGAAAGAGCTGGACAACTTAAAGTGCAATTAAAGAACAGACAGTATATATCAATGAGGCAGAATTAAGTTCCAATTCCACACAGCTTGGCAGTTAGAAATATATTTAATGGGTGATCTTCCGTGAGAAACAATAATGGAGAACTTGTTTTCCCTCTTAGATGGATCAACAAAGAACGTACAATTACACTGGAAACCTCTTTGCAGGACTGCGGGTTGAAAATATGATCCATTTTATTACGTACCACTCCAAAAAAATGATATTGAAATTCAAAAGGTTGACAACTGCAATGCATGTGGCAATAATAAACTCAATAAAATGTGTTGTCATTTCTTTGCCTTCCTTCAGACAATATGAAAATATCATACACTTGAAAAACATCTTTGCTCTATTAAAGTTCTCAAAAGTCAAAGGTTTATATTTCTTTAATATAAAATACAACGGCTGGCTAATTCCAAAGGCAACACACAACTCAGGAATCCATTTTACCGCAGCTCGTTGCTGTATGATAGATTAAAAAAAGACTAACCTCTTTGTTTTAATTTTCCTCAACCTTTTGGAGCTTTCCGTTTTGAGAGTGAAGTTGTCAATCCCAACTCAATTGCACTCCAACAACATGAACCAAGTTAACAGCTATAACACTAGGGATAAAGAAAACAATCTACCTCAGCCTTGTGAAATATTGAAAAAGTCCTTGTGAATTGTGGACTGTTCTGTAATTTATTAACAGAGCTCATGTTGTCAATCTACACATCCACAAATACAATCAGTCCCCAGGTACATGCATGTTTATAGGTTACCAGATCTTTCAGTTCAAAACTAATCACTCAAAGGACCATGGAATGTTGCATGTCAATAAACTGGGTTATTCCAAAGGATTTTAAATGGAAAGAGTTTATGAAGAAAGGACTCAAAACGTCGACTCTGCTTTGTCTCCAAAGATGCTTCCAGACCTGTTAAATTACTGCAGCATAGATTTCCTGCAGTGGAAATAAAGGCTACTCAGTCCATCGACTCTGCACTGACCCTCCGAAGAGATTCCCACCCTATCCCTTTAACCCCATATTTACCATAGATAACCCACCTAACCTGCACAGGGCTGTGGGAGGAAACTAGAGCACCCAGAAGAAACCCACACAGACAGGGCCCTGGAGAATAGGAGAACATGTAAACTCCACCCAGACAGTTGCCCAAAGCTGGAATTGAACCTGCGTCCCTGGTGCTTGAGGCAATTGTGCTAATCACCATGCCATTGTGTCACAATTTCTGCTGTTGCTTCAGATTTCCAGCACTAGCAGTTCTTTGTTTTACTACGCAGTGGAAAAAACTTGTGTCCTGAAGCATGCTAACTGGAAAAGTTGCCGTGCAATTCAAGAGACTGGCCCGGAGTGTATGCTCAGTGGTCAAACGAGACTCCTCAGCCACGCGGGTAACTGAAGGGATTTCCACAAAAGGTGATGAAGTTATTATTAGGAATCCAGAGATCAGACTTTGAAGGGATATAAACTGGACTGCCAATTTGTTATCTGCTGTTTTATACTTTTTGTGCTAAGCCACGATTTATCCCATTCTGTTCTAACTGCCCACTGGCTGTAATCATCCTCCCTACAAATGGGAGATGGACAGATGATTAAAATGATCTTCACACCACATTTAGGAAAAAAATATGAAAAAATATAAAATGAACTATAAAGCGAAGAGTGTTTTCAGCATTTCCCATTTTCATTTTAATTTTCCATATTCTCTGATTTCTCTTCTCTACCTGTGGATAAGCACACGGTTTTCATTTAGCAACTCCTGTTGCTCATTCTGATGAAATTCAGAAAGTTGTCAGTAGGAGATTTCAGATGTGAAATTTTCATAACGTTATGTTCTACTTTTTTTTGACACTGAAATCACTTCAATCATCTACCTGTTTCTGCTGCATTCATTGACCAGCAGGTCATTCGTTCTCTTTTGTTCTTATTCTATTAAAATGATTGGTCATTTCTCATTCCTTTCAGTCCTGATGAATAGCTGTTTGTCACAAGCATTCATTTGCTGTTCTCTCCACAGGCATGAACAAATAAAATGAGCAGAATTGTTCCACAGAATTCAGGACTGCTGCCTGGAAGACAGGCATCACAATCTTCCCACAGGCTGCCAGCTAAATGACCACCTTCGCACTTAATGTCCCATTAATGACAGCGGGTGTGCTCCCAATTCTGCTGGCTCAGTCAGAGGCCAGCAGTTCCACAGCCCTTGTGACACCACCAGGAGAATTGTGTGCCACTCAGGCAAATCAGAGACCATGAAGGCACCTCAACACGGAGGTGCCCTTGAAAGTGTAGAATTGAACGAAAAATTCAGAAGGATTAAGTTGAATGGTGCAGTGCAGCTAAGGTTCCTCTGACAGCACCTTTTATACCTGCAACCTCTCACACCTAGGACAAGGACAGCAGATAATAGGAACACTGCCAGCTGCCATTCCTTTTCATGCCACACACTATTCTGATTTGGAGTCACATCCTCGTGCTTTCATTACTGCTGGGTCAAAATTGTGAAAATCACCTCCTTACAGCATTCTGGGTGTCCATACACTACAAGAACTGCAGTGGTTTAAGAAGGCAACTCACCATCTTTATGTCCTGGTCAAAAGGATCGAGCAATAAATGCTACCTCACTAACAATGCCCACATACAATGAACAAAGGAAAAAAAGAAGACCCCTTCTAGTTGAGGAGAAACTCATCTCTGCAATTCAGTTCAACTATGGGTGAAGTATTTTTTACTCACAAACACATCATTGGAGCATTGAAACATAGAAAATAGGAGCAGGTATAGGCCCTTCTGCCCTTTGAGCCTGATTCAAGCATGGAGCCTATAACTCTGATTGTCTCAGCCTGCAATAGAAAGACTGCCTTCATTAAACTGGGGCCTCTTTTCCTCTGGCAAAATAGCAGCTGAAAAAATTGCCCCAATGGGATCTTGACTATATTCATTAAATGCCCATTTCAGTGGAATGGGAAGCTGATGTGATCCCAGATTATCCATGAGAATTTTCTCAGGCAGCAGAAACCCATTGAGAAACCATCTAAACCTGATTTCCCTCTCTGTTCCTGATATTCCCTGCCCCAGCCCCTCCCCAAACATCCAGCTTCCATGCCCACCCTCGCAGGCCCAAGAAAATGCAACCTGATATGTAATTGCTGTGCTTTTAGTTTCTTTTTAATCAATATATTATGTTATTTCCATTCAATTATAAATGCATGTTTTTTTTTCGTATATTATAGGTTGCTTCGTGACCAGAGGTTTTGGAACCTTGGAATCTCCATACTGGTTGCATTGATTTACTTCACTGTAACACATTCTTGAAAGCTTTTCTATTGAATAACATTAAATGTGGTTTACGATTATCTCAATGCTACCAATATTGGGGGTGGCATGGTGGTTCAGTGGTTAGCCCTACTGCCTCACAGTGCCAGGGACCCAAGTTTGATTCCACCCTCGGGCGATTGGCTGGATGGAATTTGAACATTCTCCCTGTGTCTGTGTGGGTTTCCTCCAGATGCTCCAGTTTCCTCCCAAAGTCCAAAGATGTGCAGGCTGGGTGGATTGGCCATGGGAATTGCAGGGTTACAAGGATAGAGTGGGTCTGGGCGAGATGATTTTCGGGAATTGGGACGAATGGCCTGCTTCCACACTGCAAGGATTCTATGATTCTATGTGCAGTGTCCTCAGTTCTAGTTCATTTTTTTCTTGACTATTCACAAAGAATGTATATAGTGGTAATTGATTTTAAGTAATTAAAGGTTACTTACATCATGATTTAAACTGACAAATGTTACTATCATCCTTTAAGCTCAACTTATATAAATTTGCCAGAGTCACTTATAATAATTAATGATGAGAAGTGACAGGAACATTGCTTGGAAAAATCCTGAACTGAATCAGAGTTCATCACAACCACAGAATTGTTACAGTGCAGAAGGAGACCATTTGGACCATCATGTCTGTGTTGGTCCGACAAAACAAGCTTATAAATCATGACTTAATGCCATTTTCCCACCTTTCCTGCATATTGTCATAAATTATTTCAATTTGAATAATCATCCAATACCCTCCTGAATGCTTTAGTTGAACTATCCTCAACCATAATTCCAGGCAGAGCATTCTAATCCAGAAACACTCGCTGCATGAAGAAGTGTTTTTCCTCACTTTCCACTTCTTTTATAAATTACTTTAAATCAGTGTCCCCTTGATCTTGACTCTTCTACAGGCAAGAACAGTTTATCTGAATACTATGTGTAGAATTCTCATGATTTTGATAATTTCAATTGAAACACCTCTCAACCTTTCCTCCACAATGAAAACAGCCCCAACGTCTCCAATCCATCTTCATATCAGAAGTTTCTCTTTGCTGAAATCATTCTTGTAAACTTCTTCTGCACTCTCTTCAATGCACTCACATCCTTCGTAAAGTGTGGCACCCAGAAGTGTACACAGTACTCCAATTGTTGTCTAACCAGTGTCTTATACATAACCTCCTGTACTCTATTTAGTTATTAATAAATCCTTGGATCCTGTGTACTTTATTAATTACTATCTCTATCTGTCTGACCATATTTAATAACATATATGAGCCTCTCTGTTCCTACACTTCTGTTACAGTGGGACTTTGTTATTTTCTGCTGTTAACTACATTCTTTCTACCAAAATTTATCACCTCACACTTCTCCACATTGAACCTCATTTGTCACCGACCTGTCCATGCCAACTTTGGAACATTGTTTATGAACATTTTTTTTATATAATTGCAAGGTTTAGATTTTATTTAACAGCATCCATCCCTAATCTTGTTGGCAAAAGCTGGAATTGCTGAATAGTAAGCTGTTTATAATCATGTGTAAATTTATTTTTAAGCTATGCTTTAACATAATATGAATTTAATTAAAACATTAGTGAAAGAGTTACATATAGACACAAAGGCAACTCAGATTTTACTGTTGATTTTCCTAATTATCAGCCATTTCAAAAGCATTTAAAAGTCAACAACAATCTTAAAGCGATATGTTATACTGAATACTACATCATTGTTAAGAATAAGAATGATCATTCCTGCTCTGTGCATGACAAGAAATTATAAGTTGCTGAACTTGAGGAAATTGCTGAAAGATGAGAAGGTATAGAATCTGAAACAAAAGGCAGAAGAGGAAAAATAAGAGATAATGGTAACATTAAAACACATCGTTACAAAAAAAAGGATACAGAGAAAAATGAGAAAATGGACCAGTTGGCCTTGGTAATTGTTCTCAATATGAACAGTAGCCCTAATTCCATAAACTCCTCTATTTCCATACCCCTTTATTGCCCTTCAAACACATCTACCCTATTCAGCTTGTATAATGCACATGCCAACATTTTAACCTCCACCACTTGATATTTTTAATTGCATTTATTTCCTATTCCCATTCCTTCCAAGCGTAAATAGCTCTTCACTTTCTCATTTATATTCACTGCCAGTTCATTAGTTCTTTTTCTATTCAGATATTGCTTCTCTTGCAGTTTGGTCCTTTTTTTCTGCTGTACTGCTTTAAGTGCTCCGAAAGTCAGAAACCCCTTACCTAATCCTAACTCTACAGCCATATTTTGCATTT